AAAAAAAAATCCGGAACAGACGTGAAACTTTGGCCGCCATTTTGATTTTCCTGAAACTCTTCGATTTTTATTCAGCCAATTTGGCTGAACCGAATTTCAAAATTTTGGTGTCAAATGAAAGAACATAAAAATTAAGAGAGATCGCAGGAAGCCGATTTTTGAATTTCGATTTTCCTTTTTTGCAATTTGCGATTGATTTTTTCAATATTTGATGGCGTATATCTCGTGACCTTGACCTTTGATGACCTTGACCTTTATAGGGTCAAAGGTCATTGACCTTGGCTATCATTTGATACTTTGACCTTTGACCTCCGACATGTACTTCCGGTTTTATAGCTATCCGTAAAAAGCCAAATTCGCAACTTTGGACTGCTCTAGCACGTGACCTAATTAACCTAGAGGGTTAATTTTTTCGGTTTTCTAATGTGCTTCTCATGCACTTTACATAGATATAGAACAATTGCTTTTTTAAAGCAAAATAAAATTCGTGATTTTTTCAAATTTGAGTTTAGTTTTACCATATTTGTGTCTTTTTGATCTTCGTGTATGTATATCTTATGACCTTTTCTATGAAGAACCTTGATATTTGGAATACAACTAGACACTTTGAATATGAATTCACCTATGACAAAGAAATTGGGGTGGGCGTGGCACATCCGGGTTGAATTACTAATTGTTTACATTTTGCCGCTGGGGCATAACTCGCATAGGATGCGTTTGTTCAAAAAGGGACTTTGCACACAATTACCTCATCCTTTTAGCCAGTTTGTGTTAACAGCTCAGTTGTTTCAGCTTTATAGTTCCAAAAAAGGAACGGGTTTTAACATTTGGATATTTTCATTTTTCGATTTTGACCTTTATTGACATTTGTTGACCTATATCTTTTGACCTGAATAATGTAGAAGCTTGAAATTTAAAACACAACGTAACATTTGGAATATCAATTACCCTATGCAAAAAAATTAAGGTGGGCGTGGCACATCCGCGTAATATTACTCATTATTGATATTTTTGGCCAGGAGCATAGCTCGCAAAGTATACGTTTGTTCAAAATGGAACTTTGCATACAATTATCTCATGAATTGAGCCACTTTGTCTTAGAAGTTCGGTTGTTTCCGCTTCTTAGTTCAAAAAAAGAACA